TTCTGGACATAAACTGCTGTGGATGCTGGGAGGAGGCGGCACTGAGACAAGAGCACGCAGAGCAGAAGGGAGAGAATTTTCTCCTCTAATGTTCATTTAATTGGAATACCAGAGGAAAGCGCCATCAGAACATATCAACAGCCAAGGCATGTTGTTTTTAATTTGTTGGAAGAAATTTTTAATTTGTTTTAGCTTCCGAATCAAGAACATCACAAAAGCTACTGTATCCAAACCTTTATTATTAACCTTATGATATTTTTGTCCTTCTTCTTATTACTAGGACATCAAGCAGAGCTTTAATAATCCCTCTCAAAGAAAAAAACTACCAAGAAATACATGGAACTGTCAGCTTAACGACATTCAAATGACCATTTTCATTATTTCACTTGTAATTAGTATAACAGATTTCCACATTTCCAAAACTGTCCCTTGTATCTGGGCTTCGCCACTGTTCACACAGTCACTTTAGCATTCACCTTGACCACAGTGGTGTTGAGAACTCCCTTTTTATGAGCCAGTTTAAAGTATTGTTTTCCTAAGTCGTTCCTCTATTAACACCTCCGGTTTCCACCATTCTTCCGCCTCCCCCTAGCCCGTGCTGCCAAGCTGCTTCCTGAGCGAAATGTGGGTAAAACCTACGCTTACATTATGTTGTCAGATTACAAGTAACAAGCTGTGTCTGTGCTGTTAGTCGATTACTCACACCCTCATCGGGCCTGCTTGTTTGCAACCCTATGCTCATTTGCGCTGCCATTAGTAAACTACATTAGGTTATTATTGAGCTGAAGTGGCTGTGCCTGTGTTTATAAATTTACACTGTGTTAATAGATTACCCGGAGGACTTTCCACTCCCATTGCTCCCATTTGCCCTGCTTAGTGAATCAGGCCCTTAATGTAAGTTGATTTTTCCTTTAATTTGTCATCCAGAGGTACGTATCCTTCCCCCTTCATGTACATTGGTATGACCAGTTTGCTGCTAGCCCAGCACGCATTACCGTGCATTCCTGCCTAGATTTTCAAACAGGTAAAAAATGAAAGAAAATAATGCAACTCTGCATCCATGCTGAGACAAATAGATGTAGTTTTTTTTTTTCCTGAGCTGACTAATGACACGAGCTGCCGGAGCTGCTAGGAAGCTATGTTTCAGAAAAACTGCACCGAAACTAGTTTTCACTGACAAACAGCTATACAACAGGTGTATGCACTCCTATGGACAAAAGAGAGTGGGGTAATGGAAATTAGCATCTATGCAACGGCAAGACATCAGGGGCCAAAATGAATTATGCTGGTGCATCAGTGGGGGCAGGAGAAGACAGGCAGGGGAAAATGAGACCATTACAGGAGTGTAATTAGACAAATGAAAGCACAATGGATTACGAAACCTGACTGAGGTAATAAATCATTCGTGCGCGCTTATAGGAAGTACATGACACAGTGTCAAGTGTCTAAAACCCACTATTTAACCTACGAAGCACTGTTAAAGTGTCTCCACGCTGACCCGTAGCTCTTCCTCCAAATCTATTGAATGAGGGAGAGAGGCAAGTGAGAGGGGGGGCATACTGTTGCACGCAGCGGCTTTAACGAGTTCGCTTCTTCGCGCGCTAGTCCTCAGGGATTGGCTCCCATCTTTACGTGGGCGAGCAGGTGTGAATCTCCATCCTGGCAGTGGGGGAACAGAAACGGAAAAGGAGGGGCGGAGGAGAGGTGGATTTCCACCAATTAAGGCTGAACCAGAGTCCTTCTGCCTTTAATCTACAATTGGATGCATGATCATGAGACTGGCTGAGTGAATGCCTGTAAGCACGCAGCGTTTGGTTGGAAGGAGAGAGACACAGAGAGAGAGAGGGAAGCAAAGAAAAGACGTATGTGTATTATAAGCAAAGCTGACATCAGGACCCCAATTAGAGGCCAGTGTGCTTTGCTGCTACTGGTGGAGTGATCCTGATTGAGACAGCAGTGAAGAGAGTGTGAGCAGGACAGTAATTAAGGCACCATGACTAGAGCCTTAGATGATGTGCTCCCCAGAGTGTAAATGTAAAAAAAAAAAGAAAAAAAAAGAAATACACATGACAATCGAATGATGAACAGCAGCGCGCGCACACACACACACACACACACACACACACACACACACACACACACACACACACACAAAATGTGCAGCCTAAACATGCTTAAAGACTCTAAAGGATGGGAAACGTGTGGGAAGAAGGGATACACAGTGGGACACTGTAAGCTTTGATGGAGAAAAAGGGACCCAGGTATTCGCTCATTCTCTTAAACTGATTTAACCAGCCATAAGATCTAAACAAAGTCTACTCATCAATCCTGCCACAAAAAGGCCATAGGAAAAAATGATTTGTCCAGTGAGAACACATTGGAGATGCGATCAAAAATGGTGCTAAAGCAAACATTCAGCGAATCAGCAGAGAATTAATTAGGGGAAAATGAATTGTCAACTATTTTGTTCACTTCAAAGTGTCATTGCTTAAGTTATTTATCAAGATAATAAACATCAATAATCTGTGTCTTCCAGTATTGCAAAGGTCAGAATTTGCTTAGATAAAATTGAAAAAAATGATCAAAAGCAAGCTACACCTCACATCACGATACTAGATTGGCGCTACATCATGCTCACATACCAGTATCCCTAAAAGAGCTGGAATTTAGTTTTTGGGTTTCATGTGGTTTATTCTTGACTAGCTAGCACCCAGGAGAGAACCACTGCTGTGCACCGGGTATTTTTAGTTGTCTTTGTGAGTTTATTCTGCAGGCTGCTGTCTGTTTAAATGAAAACTCATTATATATTGATTTCAGATTCACGGCCAGAAAAAACATCTGAGGATGTCTGCTTTATTTCCAGGAAACTTAAACTTACATTTTCTTTCCTTCTTTTTTTGATAACTTTTATTCTTGCATAGACTTCATAGCTTCACAGCTCTCAGAATTCAATTGTTGGAAAGACATGAGATTTCTCAGTACTAATGTCAACATGACTGGAGTATTGTCATGAGAATTTCTGATGTCTTGCTTTTAGGAGCAGAAACATGAAAATCAACATAAAATGCAGTCCAAAGTCACAAAGACTGATTTAATTTGGAAAAAAAAAGTTTAGATGAAGAAGGTGAAGAACTAATCTAATTTGTACCTTTGCTGTCCTATTTCTACGTTAAAAGTTAGATATCTGATGTTGGAGCCATCAAGTCAGCGGATCACTTTCTAATAATAATCTGAAGGAAATGTGTTAGTTTCCTGCTTTTGTATCCACCCTTTTGTAAAAACTCTAGCGCAATAAAAGCCACCATAAAGCGCATTCAGTAATGTTGGTTCGCTTACAATGCTCCTCATACTTTATCCATACCATCCTTGTGTTTCCTCCAGTATCATTCTACTGTCATAGTCTGTCTCTGTCGATCGCAGCCAGCCAATGCATTTACAGAAGCCCAATTAAACTGACGTCTGTTTCCTTGACAGCCCATTAAGCTCCTGCCTGAGATGAGATGAGGCCGAATCGCTTTACGTGCTTGTGTACACAAGCGTGATGAGGAAATGCTACTCATTACCAAAAGCCAGAGAGGAGGGTAGAGAAGCCGTTTGGTCTGCGTAGTTTTTGGAAGGTTTAGCCATTTGTTGAGAAGTCAGACAGACTGTGGCAGAAAAAGATTGAGATACAACTTCAGAAAGAGGAAACAGAAAAAAGATTCCATGCGAGATTACAGTGCGAGCTGCCTGCCATTCATCTGACCAATTTCCCTTGGCAGTTCTGAGCACTTAACCTTATGACGGAGATAAACTGCATGCGTGTACACAGACACACACAAAACCTTTTAGTAACTAGAATTAATAAGCCCTAAAGCAAGCAAAAGGAGAGTCTGGCAGAGAAAATGGTCCAATTACTTGTATCACACGGGGCGTTTAGAGCGGCGGAGGTCTGCCCGTCTGAGGGGGGATTGGAGGGAAAATACCGAAATTCAATCATTTCAGTTTTATCCTATTCACAGTTGCTTTGTTTCCATTTAGTGCTCCTCTGCTACCGTGATTTTCAATCAGAAGCCATGACAAAGGCTGAGTGGCGCACGGCGAATTACAGGCATTTACACGCGGCTGCACCATTTTCACAGCACTAACGTTGACCGGCTAGCACCGAATTTTTTTACGTTAAGGGCAAAATGTCGCGGGCTTATATCGAGGCGGAGAGCCAGGTGGGTGGATAAAAGGCATGCCGGCACAATTGGTGGCATCTTCAAAGTGATGAGCTTGAACATGGGACTACACTAAAACCCCAAAATACACTAGACATTCTCTCTCCCAGCAAACAGAAACAGAGCAGACTGCAAATGAACATGAGCAGAGACAGAGAGAGAAAAACTGAGTTTTTCTTTTTGAAAAGGAGCGAGAATATTCATACTCTGACCTCAAAACACCAACTAAACCTGAATTTCTCTCCTCTGTTTATCCCTCTTTCGATACTTCTCCCATTTAACCTTTTAGTCTTCTTTCTCCACTTCCGCCTGTCTTCCATTTCAGGAAAGCAGCTATAACTGGCTTGTCAGAGCCGATAACTGTAAACACCTCGCTCTCTCTTCACACTACACTACACCACATCCTCAAATGTTATTTCAACTTCCTCTGCGGCTCCTTCCTTACCGTAATTATCCTTCTATCTTTCCTCCTTTGCAATCTCTTGTATGCTTCCACCCTCTATTTGCATGAATAAATAAATGTGTGTCAATAAAAGAGCACGGTGAGCGGGAACAGCCTGTAAGGCAGAAGCCTATTATTTTTTTTCTGTCAACAGCATCAAGCAGATGCATGCGAAAGGTTTCTTTTGTTTTGCGCTGCTTCAACATATGGGCACATAACTCAGAAACTGCTGCATTTCTACTTGACACCTGCTCCCAACACGTTCCTCATCTCCATCTGCTGTCACAATTTACTAGACGAATGACAAATTTACCGACACGGCGAGTGAACGCAAAGAGAAGTTAGCCTTCACTCACCTCTTTGCACCAGCATGGTGACCTCACTGCCTTTGGGACACTTGCTGAGCAGGTCAACCACCTGGTTGTGGGACATGCTCTGCACATTTCTCTTGTTCACCTCCACGATGATGTCGCCCTCCCTGAGACCGCGGCAGCGTGGGTAGTCCACGATCTGTTTCACTCTTTGCCCCCCACCCCCGGGACTGTCAGCAATGGTGAATCCGAAGCCCTTGTCTCCTTTCTCCATGTGTACGGTGATGAGCTCTGGCTGCGTTGCGATGGATGAGGCCAGGGTGACTACATCACTAGGGTAGCCATGCTGGGAAGAGGTATCAGAAGCCACCTCTGTGGAGGGGCTGTGGGGTCGGGGGAGGCCGTTGACGGGGACCCCGCTGTTGGTTGGACCATTGTTGTTGTTCTGACTGCCGTGGCTGGACGGCGAATCGTAGCTGTTAGAGGTCTCCTGGCCGTTAACGATGATGGGCTCCTTGTTGTCGAGGATAGCCACTGAGGTAACCAGGCTGGTGTTTGGGTCGTCGGGGTCAAAAGGCAACGGATAGCCACGGCACAGCTCCAAGTTGACCATGGAACCAATTGGAATCGATTGGAAGATCTTCACAACTTGAGCATGGGTGTAGCCGAGCACACAGGTGTCGTTAACACTCACAATCACATCACCTTAAAGGGGTGAGAAAGAATGAAGTCCATTTATTTTTGTCAAGTAGAACATCCATCCATCCATCCATATCCAAATCAGGGTCACCTGATGCAGCTACCCTTTGTTAATAAATACAGGATACTTACCAGTCTCCATCTTGCCATCAAGGGCGGCAGGGCCATCTAGGACTAGGCTCTTTATCTGCAGGAACTCATCTGGCTCATCCCCTCCCACAACAGTAAAACCAAACCCCCTACGACTCTTCTTCAGTTTGGTATTTATGAATGTCCCCTTCAGCTCAGATCGGTTCCTGGTAAAGAAAGGCTTCCCTCCTAAAAACACAGACACAGATAGCTCAGCTTTCACCACACTGGATGCCACAACAGATACTCAAGAACTGGGTTAAGCAGCAGTTGGATTCAGTTTGCAAAGCCCTGGAGCTACTAAACCTCCTCAGGTAAAGAATTATTGCTACAGTCAAGAGCCTTTGCTCGCTTGTGTCCATCTCTGCGCAACCATCGCAGCAGGTATCATTAAATGCACAACAAAACTTCTGATTACTGTTTGTCTTGAACAGGCAAGGACAACTGTCACTGCTTGACGATTGCTCACATGGTGCAAATAGGTCAAAACAGACCTATTACAATAAAATGATTAATCAGGTTAAAGGGAATGACCAGAATCATAAGCATTAAGTCAAACTGAAGGCTTAACTGATCCCATTTGGCAACTACATTAAAAGTTCATATAGAAAAGACCGAGTATGGTTGAATGACTTTCTTCAGCACATGCAACTCAGTGAAACATTGAGCAAGACCGGAAATAAGAAGCCCGAGTATAGACATGCAAAGCCTTTAAATCTGAACTCATCTACTGTTATCGCCACTGGAATCAGTCCATATTAACTTTTTGATAATAATGATCATTTATTTCTTATAATTTTAATTTACAACGTGATGATGTGATGGGACAAAAACAGTTTAGACAGGAACTTATTTCAAAATAGTATGACACCACTTCAGCTCTTTGAATGTCTAATATGCAGGCTGCTGTTTGCTTTCACTGGTGGTTTGGCATTTGAAGACACAACAGGCGCACCAAATATCTGTAGCCTGAATAGCAATGACATTGCTTCAGATGAAGGTCACATGACCGTCGTGTTCGCATAAGCGATGTCTCCAGCTTGTTTCAATCAGCTGCTGAAATCTCATCTGAGAAGCCATCTGTATCACTCCACACTGGTTGTGAGGGTTTAACTGAGACACATCTATATGAAAAAAATTTGACAGTGATCTTGTGAAAGAACAACTGCTCAAACGACGACAACGACATCTAAACTCGATTCTCTTTTTCTTGACTTTGCCATCTAATTATACGGCATTAAGGATAAAATTTATCTTTTCTACTAGGAATGAAAAACAAACAGATGAATACGCAGGCACAGGCTGAGCTCCGCTTCTCTATTAAAGGACACGATGCATGCCAAACGCACAATACTTCGGACACACAAATGATTGAGGAGATGTTGGCAGAAAGGAAAATAAGAAGAGAGAGGATGATGAAGACTAAAGGAACGTCTGTGTGGTGACCTGCAGCACCACATTAGGTTATGGCAGCGCTACAGCTTACGCATTCAATGAAAAATGCATTACCCTTGGAGTCGGTCTGTGCCCTTGTGTTTTATTGTCTACATGCATGTGTGTTTTCATGCTCAGTGCCTTTTGAATTGGATTTTTTTCCCCTAGACTAGGGAAAATGTAACTAAACTGTGTGCTGATACGGGTGGCTTTATCCACCAGGGATCTAGAGATGCAAGAACAGACCAGGAAGTGGGAGGAACATAAAAAGCAAGTGTGTTAGATTAAAAGATTTCAAAAGTGATGTCTTTCTATGGAGTAATATGGAGTGCCGGCACAGTCGAGCTAGCAGGAGTTTGAGACTGGGGGTGTGGAGGGAGGGGTAAGACAAAAAGATGGACAGCACCAAGCAGTTAAACCAAAGCAGAAAGCTGGGTGGGACCAGACAAAAGGCAGCGAGACGGCAAATGTGCGCTATAAAATAAAGAGATCGATGAGGGAGAAGGAAAAGGCTGCCGACAAAGCAGCAAGAGAGAGTAAGAGGGAGAGACAGGGTGAGGCAGTTAATTCTCTGCCATGGCTGTGCTAATTAGACAAGCTGCTAGTGGGAGGCCGGTATAAAAGGAACTGGCAACCAGGAGAAGGAAACCCACTGTAACGGCGAGACTCTATTTGTGTGTGTGTCACTAAATGATGGGTGAAATCAGGCCATTATGTGGAACAACACAGCAGAGGTTTCCTGAGAATCAACACGTTGCCACGATAAACACAGGCAGAGGGACATTTATGGAAGGGCACTCGGCAGAGCGTGTCTTCGTAAAAATATGCAGACTGGACACAATTTTGTTTAGTGCACGTGTCACGCGAGTTCAATTTGACTTATAAAAAATGCATGATGTGATTTATACAGAGAGCAGCTTTACAGTGTCAGTTCAGTTCTGGTCCTCCATCACGACAACTCAAACAGGGCCTGAGGCGCTGGCACAGGAAAACAAACTAAGCTGTAAAAGATGAATTTTGTTTAACTTATAATAAGTCGCTCTGGGTAACGCCGCCTGGAAACAAAAAAGTTATGCATAATCCTCATTTCGCTTGGTTGCAGGCTTTAGCTCTCTGAGGATGACAACTTACGTTTTTGTCCCATCGCGTTGGGCACTGCGGGCCCTGTCTGAGGGTCCCTGTAGGTCTCCTGGTGGTTGGCAGCATAGCTAGCCAACGGAGCCCCTGCCATCGTCGAGTCTTCGATCCATTCTGCAACAGCGAGAGGCACATGTTCTCGAGATGGAGTCTAGACAGGTGCAAAGTTGTCCTACTTGAACGAAACTGAGGTTAAGACAACACGTCCTGCTGTGCTGTGTGCTTGCAACAAAGCAAATGCAGCTCCGATGAAGCCGACAGAACTACTGTGCAGCGTGTTAATTACAGTGGATGAAAGATTGATGTGAAGCCTTCTACCCACTACAGATTCATGTTTCACTACTGAGCTCAGTATGAACACAAGCATTAATATGGTTTCGCATCTCTCTTCTCAATAAAACTGGTGGTGTGGGAAACCAGAAACAACTGATTCCCTTTTTCTTGACTGCCTACCACCTTTGATTAATCACCTTGCTAGCCTGCAGTTTGTCATAATATTCATAACAGATAGATGAAGTAAACACGTGTTTAAAAAACTGATTGTTTTTTTTTAATTTTTATCTTTTACAGAGAGATTCAACCTTCAATTGGGGGGGAAAAAATCAGCAGGTGAATCTAATGTTTTATGCTGAATGAGCAGAATGTGGAGTGCAATAGGAGAATTCCCTCTTGAGTTGACCTGCATTTGCAATTAATTTCACTGTAGGGTGTCCTGTGAATATGCAAAGAAAGGAGGGCAAGAGCATCACTGAGCTACCCGTTGCTTGGTTTTGGGCAGCTGTCTCAGAAGAAGTGTTTGGGAAGAGTTCTTATTCGTGTTACAACTGGCAGCATTTTATTAAGTAACACAAAATTAAGGGTCTCCACTCCAGCTCTTAAGCAGGCAGGTGGGAGCCAAGCTTACCTGTCGTTACCTTCGTCCAATTTATAACAAGCAAACGAGAATCAAAAGGTAGCACAGAAAACTGAAATTAACTTCAAAAAGGCTGCGTGGTGCAGCCGCAAATAATAGTTATGCCTTTATGGGAGGGCACTTAGCAAATCATAAGGCAGGAGCTGGCAGCAAAAATAAAACCGTAGCAGTAATAGGCATTGGCAGATAAAGTCACACTCGCTCATACTCACACAGACAGACACGCAGAGCATGCAGGCAACTCATTTATACACATGAATAAGAAAGAAAGAAAATGACGCCCCTGGTGGGGGCTTGTGAACGAACCTCGGATGTAGCGCTCACCTTCAGGTGGCTGCTGGCTCTGGGGCTGAGGCTGCTGAGGCTGCTGCTGTTCCAGCTGCCTGCGCTTCTTAGCCTCTAGCACCGGATTTTCATACTGGGTCTTCCTGTTGATATGACTTTGGGACGGTGGACGGAGTGGATGAAAAGAACATAAGAATACAGAACAAGATGTAAGGGGGGGTAAAGATCAGCAGGAGAGTAGAGCACAGCAGGGACACGGAGAAGAGGATAAGGTAACAGCAGAGCGGGAGAGGGTCAACAAAGGGCGAGGGGATTGGGGTAGGGAGTGGAGAAACATGGCGATAAGCTTTGATTAATACATGGTGGCACAATGCACACACACCCACGCTTACACAGAAACCTCTCTTTGAGATGCACATGACACAGTCGTGCCTACAAATCACATCAAATAAATCCTTTTGTGCTGATGGCTTAATTTCGCTGAAACCACAAACATCTTTCACATTACAGCCTGGGAGGTTTCCTACTAACCTAACTAGCACTGAAAAATGGAACCTGAAAGTGCCAAATTATACAGCAAATGAAGGAAACTGTGAATAATGTATATTAGAAAAAATATTGCAGAAACAAAGAGGGGGGGGGGGGAATGCCACAGCCTTGGGCCCACAGGTGCTGCTTTGAACAACATAAAAAAAAACAACCTAAAAAACCCCGCATAAAACATATTTGTATTAATGCTGAGGCCCAGGGGCTTCACACAATATGAGATACGCACATATGTGCTCGCTCAAACACGCTCGCTGCATATTTTTGTTCATTTTTTTCCGAATGTTAATGACACAAACAATGGCCTACATTTTCCAGGACACAAAAGGACTGAAATAGCTGAAGCAAGAATCTGGCTGTGATGTCTTCCATTAGCAGTGAGGTTAAGAGTTTTTGTTGCTTGAAAGAAAAAAAAGAAATGTGTGGATGTACTTCTATTTATGCACACGAAGAAGAAGCTGGGAGCTATTTCTAGATTTTTCTGCGGCGTCAGCCTGTGCACTTACTCAACATAGTAGACTCCATACACTGGATCATCTATTTTCTCCCATCCTGGAGGAAGTTCTGTAAAGAAAAAAAAGATAATGAGACAAAGGAAGTAAGTAAATCTTGACTTGCAGGAAGCCGAGTATTGAGCCATTTGAGGCAAAGCCAGGAAAGACCTTTTGCCACGTCATTGTAATCGGCCCGTCAGTCAGTCTCCGAGGCCAGAGCAGCTCAACAGCTTCACAGGCTGTCTGGCTGTTCTCACCTCTGTCCCCCTCACAATGCTGACATTTCCACCCATCAGATAAGAACAGAGCAAGACCCCCATGGGCACAGGTGGATGTATGAATGCGGGGAGGGGGGTAGAGAGATGAAAGGCACATGAGAAGGAAATCGTGAGAAGGAAGTGGACAGGAGCACGGGAAGTGGGAAGAAATACAGGGAAAAAACGGCAATGAAGAAGAGGCAGGTAAAGTTATAAATGACAGGAAGCAGGTGGAAAATTCCAGGCTTAGAAACCTTTCTGCAAAATACATTGAAGCTAAATTCTGTGAGATGATTGGTTGGTTTCTGAATGAACGACTTCTCTTCTTTTCTTTCCCCTCATACAGAAGTAAAACAACATTCTACAGAATATCACACAGAAACACACGTCTCTAATCAGTGCGCTGGAAAGGTATGGTCGAAAAGTACCTGTCCTTGGCTAAACAAAGGCACCGAGGCTCTTTAGTTTTCACATGGATCGCTAAGTGTCTGGTAGAGATTGTTGCAGATTTGACTTCACATTCGTCTCTTTGTGGGCAGAATTAAAACCTGCTTGAGTAGAACGGAAAGGGACACTGTTCACACTGATGTAAGCACACGTGAAACGCTAAAACACGTGAAAAGGTGAAACTTAAAAGATGACCATAGAAAGACATGAATATGATGCCAATGCGCAATCATCCAGTGGTGCAAACTTGCTGCAGCGCAAAGCTGTTATCTTCAACAGAGCCATCTGATTCACTTCTCCCGCCTGATTACAGCAGCACTGATTACTGGCCATTCTCCACACAGATAATGTCAGACGCTTCTAATTGGCTACAAACAGAGATTGTCCGGTAATCCTCTCCTGTGACGAATAAGTTCTACATATTACCATTATAATTATTATTATTGTATATATATTTATATTTCTTCATACATTCTTATATATTTCTATACTGTATATTTGTGTATTGTGTGTTTTGTTGTACAGTTGTTTCATTTTATTTTATTCCTTCCTAGTTAAATTTACCCTTTTTAATTTTCATATTTATTTCCTATCTTATTCATAGCCTTTTTTTTCCTTTAGGTCACGAGCAGTTGTGTAAGCATTTCACTGCATATCGTACTGTGTATGACTGTGTATGTGACAAATAAAATTTGAATTACCCCCAGCCAATTTCTGCTCTGCCCTGCGTGCAAGTAGATGGTAATTACAATCATCCAACTTGGAGAGCTTCCCTCTGCTTTTTAATAAGGAGGACCTCGGCTGGAGTGGAATCAGCTGCAGATGCAGACACACAGAAACACGCCGCCGCGGTCTACATATTAATTTATCATTTGTAAGTGAAACCAGAGCCAACAGCTCGGTGCGTGTAAGCGGCTCGGGCTTCTGTGGGTTCCGTCTTTTTCTACACCTGCTGAAGTGCATCTAAAAGCACAAGCGGCAAAGAAGAAATGCAAGGTTACGGGAAAGAGATGTCGCGAGGGTGAACGTGCAAGGCGAGCACGGTAAATTATCATTTAGATGTTTTGAACTGGAACGTTAAATGGAATGCGGTCCCGCCTGGCGTCACGCACAAATTTTAATCACCCACGTTATTTCACACTGCACTAGTTCCAGTCCGGGAGGACCACCTGTGTGTGTGTGTGTGTGTGTGTGTGTGTGTGTGTGTGTGTGTGTGTGTGTGTGTGTGTGTGTGTGTATAAGCGCAGAGAGAGGACGTTCTGTGCTGCAAACCTACTGAAAGCCTGGCATTGGTTTCGCTGTGTTTGCAAACACAGATGACAACAGCAAAGACAAAGGGAGGGAAAGTCGTCGCTCATTAAGCCGTGTTTTGCTCTCACCCCGTGTCCCTCTTCCCACTTTCTAGAACATATTGTGATTTCGAGGGGGAGACGAGCGTGATGAGTTACGCGTTTAACTGTTCGCATCTCATTCTGTTGATATAGAGCTGTGATTGATTTCTCTGGAGGAAGAGTCTGCCACAGAGAGGCACTTCTCGCGCACGTGGGTGTACGTGAGAATTTGGGCATGCGTGCCGGCGTTCATAAAAAGGCTTTCGTCTGCTCGTCTCCTTCGAGAGCAGGATTTAATTGCGGTTCCTGTGCCCACCTGCATCGGAGGGCGCCGATCGATAATTATTGAGCATGTTCATCTAGTTGAGGATGTCTTGTGGACAGGGTTGGGGGGGGGGGTTGTCTGACCTGAAGATTTAAGCGCTGTTGATGCTTAGCAATTGGAGTGGGTTTAAAAATAAAGAAATAAAAGCGTGATAGATTCTCCGTTTTCCTTGGCAGCATCTCATCAACCTGTTTGGATCTGGTGTGCTCTCTTTTTCCTGCTTTTATTGCTTTTCGCTGGAAACACCTTCTGCTGCTCGGGAAAAAAAAAAAAAGAGCTGGAGAGACTAAAACGAAGCCGTTTCTCTGTAGTTGAACCCTTTCATATTACATTTAACCATTTTAAACAGTGCTAATATAGAATATATTTACTAAAGCAGTAATGATGGTGATGAAAACATCCTACGTTCATACAGATTTTCATCACAGTATTAGATGTGGGCGTTTATATTTTTCCCCCCCTGTATTGCACCGTGTACCCCCAAGTGAAGTCCAAACATGTCAATCATTATTCTGATATATTTCCTCTAATGGAATAATTCATTACAGGTGCATAACAGTGCGGGGCATCATCTCCAGACACCATTTATCCTGCACAGGTGGCCTCACCGCTCTGTCTGAGAGGCTAGTTAGTGTGCTGATGGGTATCAGAACAAAGAGCCTGTAGCTGTCTGGCTCAGACAGGCACATTAGGAAACCATCATTACAACAATCTTCTCTGGATCAGCTTTTTGCCTCTTATGTCTGATATGATGGCCTTCTGATGTGGGAGTGTTTTGTAAGGCTGTGTAGTGTGACACCTGCATGGCTGGTGGCATGTGGGTTTGATGACAATTATGTTCAAGGCCGCATACAAACGCACATTTAAAAATCCCACGTACTAATGGAAGGGCAGACAAATGTCATGATGTGTCATTTCTGAATGATTAAAGTCACAGTAACCTAACTGATACATGTCAAAAAGATGAGAGAAGTTCCTACCTAGGTCATTATCCAGCTCCTCTGTATGTACCCCTTCTACTCAGTCGAGTGGACGGCACAGCAGCGCCACAGGATTGGTGTTGGGAAGGCAAAGGCAGAAGGGGGTGGATTGAAGCAGAAAGACAAACATCTGTGAGTTAGGCAGCTGTAATAACAACATCTGGACACTGGGTGGCAAGATTTAACCAAAACCAGAGCAACAACCTCTGAAAAACCATGTTTACTAAAATCAGGCGGCACTAAAGACTGGATCTCTGAATGTGGTTTGACACCATAATGGAGTTGAGCTTGTGACCTTTTCTTTTTCTGTATACTGTAACAATAGACTACAAAATTGGGGAAGGCAATTAATGGAAGGTGTAGGTCTTGTTGCTCCAAGAAACAGCTGGAAGAAGAGCAAAGGTGGCACCAGCCAGTGGACTGCACACCATTTTTTGTGACCCAATACTGACACCTAAAGACTAAAAGGGTGAACCTCTCCGATGTGTTATGAGAGTGAGTTTTTGGGTGCGGTGTAGAAAAACATGCTCTAAACAACGGAACAAAACAAATGAAAAAAATATCACCTCCTTTAGCTTACAGAAGATTTTGCACAAACATTGACAGACAGACACATACCATCATCTTCAGATTCTTCCAGGGGTTTCTGAGGTTTGTCCAGGCACCGAGGGTCTATCCAGGAGGTCGTCCTTGTATTGTGGCTAAGCAGAACACGCAAGACAGGCCAGACAAGACAAATTATTAGAGGGTAGCTAATAGACGTCGGAAATTTGACCCTGGAACAGGTGGAATGAATTATTTATAAAAAAGGAAAAAGTGACACACGGCACTTGATCATTAACTGAAAGCCCTGAAAGTTAAACAGGAAACATTTAAATCTGAGCAAATTGGAATGCTTTTACCATGTTAATAATAGTAAAAAAGAACATTATGATTGTTCATTTTAATGGGTGTAGAGAAGAATAACACAGCTGGAAGGATCCTAAAAAAAAGAACAATATAAACGTAAATAAGTTACAGTGGATATTTAAAGTTTTATGCCTCATATTAAGGAATTTCAAATCTATTAGAATCTGTTTGACAAGTAACAACAACAAGTAGTAAGGCATCATAGATGACCAGGTAATCTGTAATAAATTTCTTGCAGACTTTAAATTGGTTAAAGGTTCATGGCTGTAGGAGCGATGCAGGAGGAACTCTTTGGTATCCTGAATTATGCTTCATGTAGCCGCCAGTGATGTATGCTGCATTCTTTAAACTTTCATGCTTCCTAAAGCCTTCGAGTACTCTCCACAGCGACACACGTCTGTCACATTAAGATGAAACCTGGATCTGGTTTAGACTGTGCAGGCGATGGTTAATACAGAAAGAGAGTCAGCCATGAGAAAATGTGTCACGCTAGATAAAGTCATGTCCCATTTTAAACAGAGTTTAATCAAAATGAAAGGAAGCTTCATTCAGCCACATTGACAGTGAACACTGATAATATCTGATTTAAGAGTAAGCACTACTGGAATCCGACCTTTGGTACTTACTCTATAAAATAGACCTCTCCGTTCTCGGTATAGGCCATCTCCCAGTTGTCGGGCAGAGGTCCCAGCGGATCCTCTGGGGGAGGATGGCTCAGATGAGTGTGTGTCTGCTGTGTGCTCTCCGTGATGGCCGGTGGTGAGGGGGTTGTCCCAGCGTAGGACAGGTCACTCTGGCGGGGGGCGAAAGGGCGCACCGAGTGATGAATCTCGTCTAATTCACTAGAGTCTCCTGGAGGGACAAAAAACCCAGAACACACACAGCCTGGTGTCAAAAATCTGTCAACTAAAGGACGCCAGTAACACTTTCAAGGAGCAACAAGTAGCTGTGAAAACAATGAGTTAACCTTGGGACAGTTAACCAATGGTGCGCTCCATTTCAAGCTGGGATTTCCAAGCTACCAGTTGTCAACCGGAAAGCTCCCACCAAACCCAACTCAGCAATCCAACATGGCAGCAGTGCACGTAAACATGAGTGAAACTGTAAAACTTGCAATCTGCTGCACTACTGTTGTGCATCTGTGACTCGCTGAATGAGCCACACACAGAGCACTGACCGCACTTTACTAGGATGTACTCAAATAGGAAATTCCATTTGCTCTGGAAGATGGCCGAGGCAAATGGAACGCATCACGACATCAACTAAAGAAAAGACAACCGTCTTCAAACAAACAAGTGCTCCTGTTGATTACACCGTTTTTTTAAGTATCGTCACAAGATACAGTCTATTATGTAACCTTAAAGTCTGTGCGGTAATAGAAAAAAACATACATTTCCTAATACATTAAGAATTATTGAAACATCATTTGAATGGGAGTTTGGAAGAATTCCAGTCATTTAGTGTATTTCTGTAATGTTTTAAATTTCCACAGGAATAAAAATATCACCTGCCTGAGCAGTCTGAATAATTTAAAGACTAAAATATTTGAAAAAAGTTTCATGAGGCTGTAAAAATCCACAACTAGATGACAAGAAAGCCTCATGTCAGTGAGTTTTTGCATCTACTTATTGAATGAAATCAGTTATGTTGCTATAGCATGTTTCCATTTAGCCCAATAACTTCCTAAAGACAGAAGTACTTTGGGCTTGTTTCTTTCCTCCTTCAGTAAAGAATGCTGAGTGGGCAGTTCACGCCTTGAAAGTGCTAGCACCTTGCTTCCTGCCGGTTCATTTCCACACTCACACTCGAGTGGCACTTGTCACACTATCACAGAGAGTTAAACAACTTCTGGTGCCACATTTGAAAAACACATGTCAGCCACAGCTTTAAGGCTGAAACTCCTTCAATTTCCTACTCACCGACTAACAAGGAAATCCCAAAAATTACTCCAGTTCATTTCTTTAATGTCAAACAAGCAGCACTGCTGTCATTTTACCAACTTAAACTTAATTTAATGGACTATTATCCCCCCAAAATCAATTTCACATATGGAATCTGCTCAGGTGTCTGATGCTCGCAGCCAGATGGCACTATTTTACATGTGTGGATGCAGATACGCAGGCAGCAGATGTAGTCAGAGCCAGAGACCACTTACTCACCAATCAAAGAAGTTCTTGTATTCTGCAGCCCCTCTCCACAGCAAAGGGCTCTTTCTCTCTCCACTTCTTTTGTGCTTTCTCCTACTTCTTTTCTGAGCTTATCCTTTTTCACAGTATAAAAACCTCCCCTGCTTGTTTCTTTCTCCCTTTTCAGTCGTTGCTTTTTTAGACTTGCCCTCTTTCTCAGTCACCTCCTCTTTCTATTTAATTTCCTGCTACCTTCTCTCCACTTGCATTCGCCTCCCACTTTATTCATCACCTCTCAAATGATTTTTCTCCCCCGCTTCTCCTCTCCCAAAAAATAAAAGTGAAAGAAAGTGATTCTCAGGCTGATCTGCAGGGTCTGTTTGCTTTGGTGTCCAAATCAGCTGAAGGAGCGGTGAGTCCCGTGAAACAAGGAGGAGTTAAAAACAACCACAGATGCTAGGTGGTTACAGGCAAAGTGTGAGAAAGAGGAAAGATCTCTTTGAAAATGCAGATAAGCATTTATAAGTGTCAGATGTGATGTATCACTTTGGGTCTTCTCTGTGAAAAGAAGGCAAATTTAATTTAGCTTTGGGTCTGCTGCCAGCCTTCTGGGTCCATTCTTTTATCTTCTCTCCAAAGTTGTATTCAAATGAATGTGAGACAAAAATGCTGCTCTTAACACCTGGCTTCAAAACATGGCTTACACGCATCTTGAGTGACCATTTGCTTTTTGATTTCAGGTGCCAAGCTCACACCCTACTTGAGAGAAGGACACACACATCTGTGCTGAGCTGGCCAGAGAAGATGAGTGCACTGTGTGGTGCCACAGCTTGTGTACACAGCTACCAAGGCGTTAGTGCGGGCAAATCAACTGTGCTTTGGTTTGGTATTCACATTATTTTATTTAGTATTTGCTTTTCTGGCTCCACTCATATAGTATTCAACACTATATTGGATAGAAATCAATTATCAGTTCCTCCAGGAAACACTTTTCAGATTAATAATTTTTATGGAGTTAAAATCAAATAAAAATGAACAGGAAATCATTTGAGATGCTTTAAAAGATCTTATTTTGTCAGATCACTTATCTGAAGTCTAACACCAATTTATGTAAAGGAGGGTTATCAGCAAGCAATCAAGTATTAATGTACTCAGTGTACACGCAAAAACAGTGCTCTGTCAGTGTTCCCTTCATGACTCAATAATGGGATATTCTCGTCTCATCAGTTTAAAATTTTAACCAACTATAGTTGTTATTCATTTAGAGTTATTCACTTCAGTCTCCCTCATGTTTTGCTAATCTGACTTGAGTAAATGTAACTTTGCAGATGGTTTAAACCGTGGCTCTTATTATGCATTTGTTATAGCAGAGGGTTATTTTCTTCAACATGGCAGCGTCCTGACAGAGCCATACATGGTCATTTATACACGTGCTGTTGTACTCTTCACTAAAAGCAAACAGCAGAGTGCTTCTTCAATGCACAAAATCATAGAGATACAATGCTCAGTGTTACTCGAGTGTCAATCTAAACTTTAAGAGACTCTCCGCCCATCCGATTTCCTCTCCTTCCTCTGCACGTACCTGTAAAGCTGCTGTTCATGTCATGGAGGTCCTCGTCGTCCTCCTGCTGCTGCTCTCCAGGCACTAATCCAGCATTGTGCATGTCATTGTAGGACTTGGAGCGTCGGGGAGTGGAGTGCTGTGAGCCCGGCAGGCTACTCCTGAGCCCGTCTGGCAGTGGGGCATCACCGCTGTTACCACTACTGCTAATCACTTTCCCACTGGGGGGCTGCACTGGTGGCTTGGGTGTCCCATAATAGTTACCTAGGTGATGAAGGAGGCAGAAGGGAAGATGGGCGGGGATCAGAAAGACACAGAAAAGAGTAGTGGGAGGGCATAAGAGGAGGGGTCGAAGGGCCTTTTGTGTGTGAGTGAAGTGTGTGTGTTGAAGGGGGTTTAGTCACAGTCTTTGTATGCAAATTGTGAAGTTGAGTTTGTCTGTGGGAGCATGCTAATCTCCAAAGCAAAACTGCTTTTGTTCTTTTTTGTGTTTAATCTCAAAAAAGTTTCACAAGCAGCACCCCCCCCCCTCCCTTTTTTGTTTTATAACTAAACAGTTACTTTATTTCTCAAATCACTTTTTACTGCTATAGCTTAATTAGGCTGATATTTTCTAAGTCAACCTTAAACACCAGTTTCTCAGATAACAGATACTCTGACACATGCACAGCACCTGCTTTCCTCCATAAAAAATCCTCTCCATTTCTTCAGTGCCAGTGCAACCTTTTGGTTTAACTGAAAAATTCAAATTCAAACATACAGAAAATCACTCATGCTCATCCAAAGAGTAACCAGGCAGAGGTAAAGAGACTGTACCATCTGCAGACCAGCATCTAAAGCCACAGTCTTAATGAGCGAATGGTGTTTGCTCCAAAATATAAGTAAGCTATACTGAGCTAGTCTAATTATTTTGCATTGGCTTGAGTACAATTAATCAACCGTGCTCACAGACCTAAAAGATAAAATAATTAAATTCTAGAAGCCGATAGTTACAGATGATTCATAGTTTGAACTTTACATTATCAAGATATAATGGCAGCGAAAAACCTGCAGTCAAACATGATGGAATTATCCAAGAGGATAATGTTTCTGCTTTTCTGTAAGAGCAAAACACCCAGGTTTACACCATGCACAGACTGAAGAAGGTGGACTGATGTTTACATACTGTAGTTTCAGTTGTCAGTTATTATACGCAGTCTCGAACCACATTTTAGATCCTAACCAAGCTTCAGACTTTACTCTCACACACTTCAGACCTGTCTGAGTTTGACAGGCATTTCAAAACATTATGTAATAGATATGATGGGAAAAGCAAACTACATGACGGTTAACTTGTCATGTTGCAGAGCTCTGTGTGTGCCCTCTGCTTAGTAAAGACACAGAGGCTTTTGTGCTCTCTGCAAGTTTCATTATGGGCGTATCTTTGTGTGGAAATAAATAAAGTTTAAAAACTCGCTCAGAATAAGAGTAAAAGCTGTCTGAGATTTTATAAAATGGGTCTGTGTTGAACAAATGTGCTGTGTAGAAGTATACGCCTGTGCCTTTGTATCTCTTCCAGGAAACTGTTAGCTCAGTACGGTATCTAAATGTTATTCAGTTAATTTCACACCTTTACACTGTGTCTCTTATTCAGAAAAATGGCAAAAGCTCCAACAAACTACAAAACGAGTCTTCTAATACAATACAAGAAGCAGGTTTTAAAGTGATTTAAACCCTGTTTGTGTTATATTGTTGTTGGTAGAGATGGGAGGCTCGATCTGCTGGTTCTACTTCTAAGATTCACCTGTCCAGGTGTCTGCAGGACGGTGGGTTTTTTTTCTTTTTTAGTTGGCAAGGTCCAACAACTACAGCAACCTTTCTAATTTACCATCATATGTTCCTATCTCCAAGAGGGTCCCACTTTTCTCCAATTCCAGGAATTGCTCTACTGAGAGGAAGTCGTAGTCCACGCCAGGAACTTCTCCTTCACGTGGGGCACGGGTAGTACCTAGACAGAAAAACAGAGAGAAACGTAAAGTTAGACGACTTCTTTTTTTTTCCATTTCATTATGTGACATTTCATCACCTTGGGAATCTGAGTGCTATGATGTCAAATGAACTGCCATGTGAACCCTTTGGGATTTCCCACACACTCGTTCCACCTTCCTCCCCATAATCCTAATCTTTCTGTTCCTATATCCTCTCGTTTAAGTTGTGCATCTATATCCACATGCATTAGAAGCCTCCATCGCAATTGGTGCAGAGCGAGTTGCAAACAGCAGAGCCTAAAAGAATGATTATCAATTGTCTGCTATGATGTTATTTCTCGGGTGGGGTGTGAAGTATTGTAGTGGCACCTCAGTGAGAGCCTGCCATATGTGCCGGGGTGGAATGGGAGTGTGTGTGTCTGTTTCTGAATTGGCATGCAGCCTGTGAAATTCTAGCACTTGCCTTTAATGGCTGCAGACAGTTGGCCGGTGTGGCACCAGCGGTAAACAGCTTTACACATGAAACGCTGTGTTTCTATTTAACCATTCAATGTTTGCCTGACTAATGTGATTTCCACGCTATTGTACGCGCCGCTCTGAAGTTCTCTTTAGCGTTATCTCACTCTCTACCTAATTGATTTTATCCTACTCCAAAAATCGAATTATTCTGGCACAAATAAAAGCATCCAGTGCCCATGGCAAAATATCTTTTTCTTCTATTTAGTGACAGCAGAGGGCTTTCCCTGCTTTGCCTTCTTCCCTTGAAACCCCTTTCTTCCATCTCCCGATCTGTCTTATCTTGCAATCATTTTGTCTCCAGTGGGCTGCTAAGCAATAAGCTGGTAAAAATAGATGTGTGAGAATACGGGGAGAGGTTCCCACTGCAGCCACGTTTGGTGACACTGGTGATAAATCACAGATGCGCACATCCTAACTCGAGCAAGCGTACAATGCACACAGAGAGTTTCCACGTCTGAAGATAATGAATCTCTTATACAAATATTCTAGACGTGCATCAACTCAATCATCTATTACAGTATATCGCCTATTCTATCACGGTTATATGCCATTGTATGAAGGACACAGACAGGGATAATCTTCTTGTGCATTACCAGAATTCGCAAGTAGCGCCCGCAAACATCTAATCGCTTGCGCACCAAGAGGAAATTGATTTAAAGTCAATCGGATACCAGTCGCTCTTTGCACGTTCCCAGGCAGAATTTCTTTTTGCCGAATGTCAACCGTAAAGAGTGCTCAGACAAGCCGGAGTGTCCAGCCGACTGTCAGTTCGCTTCGCATACAAAAGCGGCCATTGATTCGACTCCATTTAGACGGTGCTGCTCTTAGAAAACTAAATAGGAAGAATTGTGACCAGTGTTTCAAAGGGGGTGTTAAAAAAAAAAAAAAAGGGAGAAAAAAAAAGCAGAGCCTTGGCTTATACCCAGGGTTGAGACACTGTTATCGCTATAGGCCTAATTAATTCAATATCCCCTCCCCACAAAAGCTCCATTGACCAAACTGTGGAATGGTACGAGCAAGAAAGACAGGTTGAGAGCCGAGCATAGAGACTCCTGCGACTGTGCTAAGAGTTAATGTAATCCAGCTGCTGGTGCACACAACGAAGCCTCAGAGATTTGTTGTGAGGGTGTTCATCTAAAGCTGGCTGCCTTGGGGCTTAATGGTTTCAGCGTATTCACGAGTTGAGTTGGGTAGGTGGGTGTTATGTAGAAAGAAAAAAAAAATCATCATTAGCATTTCAGGAAGATGATCAAGGAAAAATGGTAAGACACTGGCAGTCACACTGTAATGCTGCCGCTGCATCAAAAACATCCCTCCAAAAAACTTAAAGCATTGTAGCCTGCAACTGTATGACACACACAGCAATGAAAAACTGTTTTTTTATAAGGACAGAATAGAAACATTTAAGTCATTTATGCTTCTACAAGCATCCCGGGCCTGAGTTTCTGCTAATGAGAGGAATAATACAATGTGGGCAGGAAAGTTGCTAACTTGTGAGAGAAAGAAGTTTGTTTTCCAGTTACAACTCCTTTAGCTTCACAACTTCCTTGTCAAAAATAGGACCACATAGTTATGGCTCCATTAGAGAAAGCATGCACGATGTAAGGCATGACACGCCAGCATTTACATCACGCACAGTCGGTTGACCCTCTGAATGGTACTTCCTGTGGTCAGTTTTGGAAAGCATCGATAAAGCTGCTCACCTAAACTGTTCAACTTACATTCCTGCAGGATACTGAGCACTACCCATTAACACGTTGCATCCCACTTCAAGATACTGCCACACTTCCCCTGAATACTGAACTTACCACTAACTGTGTGGAAATTCTGCAAAACACTACATTTCAAGCAATGTCAAGTTTCTTTTTCTGAAGTATGCAGTGGCTGTGACTAGTCAATTCCAAACACCTTAACTAATATCAATAGCTTCAAAACATATGTATACAACAGCCATCATAGAGGTTGTACACAACAAAATGAAGGAATTGACGTCTTTTTAAGAACAGAATTCATCAGCAATCCATTTATAAAATTAGTGAGAATAAAAAGGTCCTAAAGCGAACACATAACCTCAACCTCCAAACACAATCTCGACAGACCGAGTAGAAGGTTTTTAATTTTATATTAGATTAGTGTGTCAACTACCTTAATCTCGCACAGCTGAGCTAACACTTATTTTAGGTGAAGCGGCAAAAAAAGCCAATAAGCCTGTGTTGGAGGGTCAGCACGGAAGCTTGGGACTAGTTTTATTCAGCAAGGGGCTCTCTGCTGTGATTGGTGAAAATATAATAATGCATATCTGACTGAAGGGTATTCAGACCTGTCCTCACAGACACTTCACTACAAGGGCAACTATCACTGCTACTACTGCAAATGGAGTAAAAGAAGCAGTACTATAATAAGAAAAAACACTTGCCCATAGTGAGAGCAGGGGTCCGTGTGCATGTCTGCACACAGAGCAGGTCAACAGCATCAAAAAATACTGTCGCTGTCATAATGTGTGTTTTTTTAAAAGTGTGGCTTTAAAGCTCTGCTGGTTTTTAATTTCTCCATTACCTGAAAGTGCTTTCACTAGAGCTTATATTTGTTTGTTAATATGTGTATGATTGTTGTTTAGAAATATGTACACGACTTTTATTAATTACACTTGTTCAATTGCTCTTCAATTCACATATCTAATCAACCAATCACATGGCAGTGCATTCGGGTGTGTAGATATAATCAAAGCAACCTGCCCGAGTTGAAACTGAGTGTCAGAATGGGGGAATAGAGGTGATTTAAGTGGTTGGTGCTGCCAGATAAACTCTTGTGAGCATTTTAGGAACTGCTGATCTACTGGGAGTTTCATACACACAACAATCTATAGGATTTACAGAAAATGGTCTACAAAAGAAAAGATTTAATGAGCAGTGATTCCCTGGGTGAAAAGTCTTTCTTGGCGTCAGAGGAGAATGGCCTGATTGTTTTGAACTGGCAGGAAGACTTAAATAATGACTTGGTTCACTTTTTGTATTCAGAATAGCATCTCTGAATTTGCAAAGCATCAAATGAAGCAGATGGTCTAAAAGTAGGAAACCGAGGCTACATATTCACATGGGCTGGGACATGAGAAGACGGGAAACCGTTGACTCGTCTGATGAGTCTCGATTTCTCCTGCAACATTGCTGGGGTCAGAATTTGACATAAACAACACGGAAGCAACCGGTTCATACTGCTGGTGCAATCGGTTGGGAGATATTTTTTTAGCACACGTTGGGCCCCTTAGTACCAACTGACCCATCTTCTGGTGGCTGCTTCCAGCAGAATAACACACCATGTCACAGAGCGCAAATCATTGGAAAGTGCTTTCTTGAACATGACAGTGAGTTCACTGCACTCAAATGGCCTCCACAGTCACTGATTTCAATCAAACGGGGCTCCTTTGGGATGTGATGGAACGAGAGATTCACATCGTGGATGTGCAGCCGACAAATCTGCAGCAGCTGTGTGATGCTGTCATATCAATATGGATCAAAATCTCTGAGGAGCATTTCCAGCATCTTGTTGAATCTCTGCCATGAAGAATTAAAGCAGTTGTGAAAGCAAAACTGGATTCAAACATGTACTTGCAAGGTGTAACTAATAAAGTGGCCATTAAGTTATATGCAGTATTTTTTTTTAACTTGGGGCCCACTTGCAAGCAAGATCTTGATCACAATTAAACTTCTTAAATAAATAAAATAAAAATACATTTGCATATCCTCCTGGTAAAACAAACCACTTTGTGTAGGATCAAGACTTTTTGCGCATGTTTGTGTGAACATATGGAGCTGTGCCTGACCTTTATTCCTTCCTGTCTGCCTGACTATCCGATTGTCTGTTCCTTCCCACAGATAAGAAACCAGCAAGCTGAGCCCAGCAGAAGGTTGACTCAGATACCCACAGTCAGAAGCAGTCTTCTGGCTCATATGTGAATGGCAAACACACACACACACACACACACACACACACACACACACACACACACCCCCCACCTACCTTTTGGCCTGTAATAGTATAAACAGGTTTGAGAAGCAGACACTTCCTACTCAGTGTCCTTGTCATAATCAGCAGCTGTTCCCCCTCTGCCAGCCAAAACATGCATATGTAAGTGCCCGCACACAGACAGTGGGGAGGGAGGTGTCACCAAATGGCATGGTCTACGGATAACGGGGGTGTGGGTGGAGGGTAATCACCTAATGGAGCTTTATGCAACGATCCCCTTTGCAGCACACACATACACTCATAAACACCGCTTCATTATCATAACAGCTACAGAGGGGGCGCTGCCCTGTCTAAGCCGTGTACCACCTATGGTGATCGGATCAGACTCTACGAGGAGAGCAACTTAAATTCAGCACATCTGTACTTATTGGGTGCGGGGTGGAATGGATACTGGCCACCTTTGCTAAAAAATGTTTTTGAAAAGTCAATGATCATATTGCTTCGATGCCCCTTAACTTACTGGCCAAATAATTAAGAA